ATTTGCCCCCTGAACTTCTGAAAAGTTCATATTGGTCCCCGTACTTCAAATATCAAGAGGGTTCTACAACTGAACTGTATTCCACTTTAAATTTTAAAGGTATTTTTATACTGAATCCGTTGGTATTCTGCTTCTGTTCTATAGTTACATGTCCTTTTATTGAACAAGCAACATAAGTTTTGAGAAACTTTGATCAGTTGTGTATGGTACGTCTATTTATAAATAATCTGTGAAAACACCTGGTATCTTTTTAGCTTTAATCTATGAAACATTTTTGCATAAAAATTCATAACCATAAGCTTGGCTAGCATATCAAATCTGTTTGACTTTTTACATCTAATTTCAGGCCATGTCATATTGGAGAAAAACCCTTAGTGCTGATTATCAACTTCTATTCCGATTAATCAATGGTTTCATAGTTGTTGCATTTGCTTCTACTCTAATCACATTGGTTTCACTTCCACACATGACAAATACTTCTGGTTAGTATTTTTGTCTTTACTGTATTTACAAAATTACCGCTCAGTGGAATTTTCTACTTGTTGCTGACATGGCAGGTTTATTTACTTTTTAATTTGTTCCAACATTTTCAAAATACTACTTAATGAGACTCACGAAGAAGTTGTCTATGTTGATCGGGGAGAAGCATTAGTCATTCAACGAGTTTTAAATGTTGTAGTTTCTCAATCCATTGATGATAATTCCTGGCTCCGCAACAACATTTTCCGCACTAAGTGCACTTTCAAAGGTAAAGTGTGTAATATGATTATCGATGGGGGTAGTTGTGAGAACATGATTTCACTTGAAATGGTTGACAAGTTAGGCTTGAAAACGGAAGCTCATCCCGAACCGTATCAACTAACTTGGTTAAAAAAAACAGAATGTTTTCAAAGTTAGTAAGCGGTGTTGGGTACAGTTTTCTATCTGAAAAAAATATACTGATGAGGTTTGGTGTGAGGTCATTCCGATGGACGCATGCCACATCCTTTTGGGCAGGCCATGGCAATTCGACCGGAAGACAAAACACGACGGATTCCGTAATACATATAGCTTCCAGAAAGATGGCGTGAATATCATGTTAGTTCCACTTGATACCAGAAAATCCCAAGAAAATAATTTTGCCCTTTATCTTAAACAGTCCGAGTTTGAAGAAGTGGCTAAATTCAGCCCGGTTGTGTTCGTTTTAGTAGTCGAGGAGGCAAACGAGTTTGCACCACCGGTACCCGTTCATGTTCAACCCTTATTGAGCGAATTTTCTGATGTTATAACGGATGATATTCCACCTGGAATACCTATGGTGCGGGATATTCAGCATTACATCGACTTTATTCCAGGTTCAACAATCCCTAACAAGCCCGCATATCGAATGAATCCTCGGGAGTACGAGGAATTGCATAGGCGGGTGACGGAATTATTGGACAAAGGGCTCATCAGAGAAAGTATGACCCCGTGTGCAGTACCTGCGTTATTGGTTCCTAAGCATGGCGGCACATTTCGTATGTGCATTGATAGTCGAGCTGTTAACAAGATCACTATCAAGTACCGATTTCCTATTCCACATTTTGATGACTTACTTGATCAATTATATGGCGCAGTAGTTTTCTCGAAAATTGACTTAAGAAGTGGGTATCATGAGATTCTAGATGAGACCTGGGGACGAGTGGAAAACCGCATTCAAGACACGAGACGGACTGTACGAGTGGATGGTCATGCCTTTCGGCCTCTCTAATGCGCCGAGTACATTCATGAGACTCATGAATCATATTTTTAAACCTTATATTGGTCATTTTGTCGTTGTGTACTTTGATGATATTTTGGTCTTTAGCAAAACTATGGAGCAACACTTATCTCACCTTTGTCAAGTTTTTTTCTGTCCTGCGTGAACATAAATTATATGCTAATGGTAAGAAGTGTCATTTTCTTGTTCATGAAGTGACTTTCTTAGGATATAATGTTTCTGGTAATGGGATCAAGATGGATGATTCTAAGATCGACACTATTATTAACTGGCCAACCCCCACTATGATTCATGTGATCCGAATTTTTCATGGGTTGGCTTCCTTTTAGCGTCGTTTCATCAAGTATTTTAGCACTATCATAGCTCCTGTCACCGAATGTATGAAAAGATGACGTTTTTCGTGGACGGATGAAGCAACCACGGCTTTTGAACTTCTGAAACTTATGGTAACACAGGCTCCTGTTTTATCTTTACTTAATATTAGTGAAGTTTTTCAGGTTGAATGTGATGCCTTGGGTGTTGGTATTGGTGGCGTTTTGAGCCAGAATTCATGGCCCATAGCCTTCTCTAGCGAGAAGCTTAGTGATACTCGTCGCAAATACTCCACATATGATAAAGAATTTTATGCGATCGTATGAAGTTTGGATACTTGGCGACACTATTTATTACCTTCTGAGTTTGTTTTGTTTTCAGATCACGAGGCTTTGAAATACATCAAGGGCCAACACAAGCTTAATCCACGACATGCCAAGTGGGTCGAATTGCTCCAAGCTTTTTTCCGTTGTGATCAAACACAAAGCAGGAGCGCAGAATAAAGTTCCTGACGCACTTAGTCGACGACATTCGTTGGTTACTACTATGCAGGTACGCGTTCAAGGTTTTGATACCTTCCGAGACCTGTATAGAGATGATCCTACTTTTAAGGATGTGTGGCGTAAATGTACCAAGAAACCATTCTAGCAGTTTTCAATGCATAACAGTTATTTATTTAGAGGGGCTCGATTATGTATTCCTCTTAGTTCCCTACGTGATGACATTATATTAGAAAGCCACGCAGGTGGTCTCGCGGGTCATTTTGGTCGTGATAAGACCTTGGCTCTCATTCATGATTAGTTTTGTTGGCCTCGCATGGAGAGGGATGTTAACCATATTGTGGAGAGGTGTCGGATATGTCATATCGGGGCAGTAATGCAGGTTTGTATACCCAATTATCAGTTCCCAACGCCCCCTGGGAAGATATTAGTCTTGATTTTGTATTGGGATTACCTCGTACCCAACGTCATAAGGATTCTGTGATGGTCGTGGTTGATCGGTTTTCTAAAATGGCCCATTTTGTTCCGTGCTCCAAGACGCTTGATGCGAGTCAAGTTGCTAAGTTATGTTTTTCTGAGATTGTTAAATTTCATGGTATTCCTAAAACACTCACTTCTGACCGTGATGTGAAGTTTGTTAGTCACTTTTGGCGTACTTTATGGACACGGATGGGTTCTAAGCTGCAATTCAGTAGTTCTCATCATCCGCAGACCGATGTCACTAATCGAAGTTTGGGTAATCTCCTACGAAGCTTATGTGGTGACAGCCCAAAACAGTGGGATCTTACTCTTCCACAAGTTGAGTTTGCATTTAACAGGTCAATTAATCGTACGACGGATAAGAGTCCCTTTGAGGTTGGGTACGGTTGCAACCCTATCACACCCCTTGATTTGGCACCTATTTGTGTGACTGAACCAACTAACGGGGAGGCTGAACAGCAGGCCACGAGTATTCAACAGTTACATCAGCAAGTTCGCGAACAGATTCTTCATCACAACAAACAATATGCTGATCGAACTAATAAAAATCGCAAGAGTGTATATATAAAGAAGGCGATCTGGTGTGGATTCATTTGCATAAAGAGAGGTTTCCAGCTGGTCGTTTTGGGAAATTAAAGCGACGGTCCTTTTCGCATGCTCAAGAAAGTTAATGAAAAAGCTTACAAAATCGAGCTGCCTGGTGACTATAATGTTTCTGCTACTTTTAACGTGGCTGACTTATCACCTTAAAAAGGTGTGGGTGACAACTATCCAGACTCGAGGTCGAGTCTTTCCAAAGAAGGGGAGGATGATGCAGTTAATGACACCAACGACATTGTTTAGGGGTCGAACACGGCCTTTTTCTATTTTATAAGTCTTATTTTGAACTTTGGGATTTGTTTTCCTTTTTGGTGATTGCTGAGTTTTCTTTCCTTTTAGGTGGTTAGACTTATAATCGGTGTTTAGGGTTTTCAGAAAACAGGGTTTTTTTGATAGATATTTTTTTTTTGATTATTCTGATCAGCTAAAGGCGATTTTCCCAGATAGGGGAGTCGGTTATTATTTGTTCTTTCTTATTGTTTGGCCATCGATCCGGCACCAGTAATTCTTGAACTTAGTGGTACTCACCTCACACCAAGTAATTCTTTGTCCAGCTATATCTGAAAAACAAAATCCAACAATTACAAAGTAAACAATCTACTATAAGGAACAAAGTTAGCAAACTGGAAAAAATAAGAAATGGATTGAGCCAATTTGTGTGTAATCAGACGAAAAAAAGCCTTTTTTTTGTTTAATTCCTTCTTTCAAACTTTTAGGGTTCATGAAGTGGAGATGTGAAGATGGGGTCGTGTAACAGGAGGACTTATGGAGCAACGGGAAGTAGGTCATCCACCTATCTCCTCTTTTATCAGGGTGGCGGAGATAACATGCTCTTCATTCTACCGATTTCAATTTCAAGGATGACGATCATCTGTTGAACGCACAAACATAGTTAAAAAAGGGTTAATTTCGAACCAGAATATTAAAGGGTGAAATAGACAGATTTCATTTTTAGGGACATATATAATGCATGGATGAGAAAAAGACCACATTGTAGAAATCAAAATCAAACTTGGGAAAATAAAATGTCAAAAACTAAAATTTGTGAAATCAGAAAACAAACCTGGTATGTTGATTAAGTGAGTGAAAGGAGATGGTGACGACGGTGAGGACGTTGGGCATGTCAGTTTGTGCTGTGATTTAGGGTTTCCTAGTTGGATTGATGATCCTTCATTCTATCAGTTAACAGAGCTAAAATTATGTGGTTGTACAAGTACACATTTACCAACACTTGGACAGCTACCGTCCCTTGAGAGATTGTTTGTTGAAAGGATGGATGAGGTGAAGACTTTGGGTTTTGAGTTTCTTGCACCTGATGATTCTTTCCTTGGGATTTCATTTCCATCTCTTGAAGTTCTGAAGTTTATGATATGCGAGGTTCGGAGAGATGGTCAACTAATAATGGTCAAGACAATGAAACTGGTAGATGGTTTCCTCGTCTTCGTGAGATCTCTATAGCATACTGTGGGAGACTAGAAGAAGTATCAATTGGATTGATACCATCACTTCGGGTTTTAAAGATAGAAGAATGTTCCGAAGAGGTGCTAAGAAGCATGGTTAGTGTGTCTTCATCACTTGTTGCATTGAGCCTTTCGAATGTTGAAGGACTTACTCAACTACATAGAGAAATTTTAATGCAGCTTCGGTCAGTTGAAAATCTCAACATTGAATATTGTCATGGACTTAGACACTTGTGGCCAGAGCAAGAATGGAAGACAAGCAAGATTTGTCCAAGTTTACAAACGTTGGAGGTAAGTCATTGTATAGAGTTGGTGTCATTAGGAGAGAAAGTGATAATTCATATGGGAGTATGAGTATCATGGAATCTATTAAAGAAGTGATGATTGTTCGAAATTTTGTAATGGAGAGTTACACTTGTCCACGTAGTGTTGAGAGGTTACGACTCTTTCAATGTAGTTCAATGACATCCTTCACCTTCTCAACATGGCAGGAGCACCCCCACCCCACTACAGAGAAAGGTTTTGGTTTTCTTCAATTTTTTTGTCTAAGATATCTTCAGATTGGTTGTTGTGAGAATCTAGAGTCGTTTCCTCATGAGCATTTGCAAAGTCTCACATCTTTGGAAGAACTGTTTATGAAAGATTGTCCAAGTTTGGATTACTCATTTCCTTGTGGGTTGTGGCCTCCTAATTTAAGTACCCTATCTATAGGTCGCCTAAATAAACCCATGTCAGAGTGGGGCCATCAGAATTTTCCAACCTCATTGGTTAAACTAAACTTATCCGGCCAAAATTCAGGAGTGGTTTCATTTGCAGTTGCACAATATATGAGGAATGCCGTTGCTCCATCATCTTTTCTTCTTCCACCATATTTAGTTTCTCTAGAACTTGAAGGTTTTATGGATGTAGAATCACTATCGGAGGTCTTACAACAGCTACCATGTCTTAAGTGGGGCCATCAGAATTTTCCAACCTCATTGGTTAAACTAAACTTATCTGGCCAAAATTCAGGAGTGGTTTCATTTGCAGTTGCACAATATATGAGGAATGCCGTTGCTCCATCATCTTTTCTTCTTCCACCATCTTTAGTTTCTCTAGAACTTGAAGGTTTTATGGATGTAGAATCACTATCGGAGGTCTTACAACAGCTACCATGTCTTAAACATCTTGTTACTTCATCATGCCCGAAGCTTAAAGATCTGCCTAGACAACTTCCGCCCCATAAAGATGTGATAGTAAGAGAGGTATGTAATCTGCATGCCTACCATCACTATCTCTTGCGAAAGTACTAAAAGTAGAATGAAAAATATTTATTTATATAATTATAATTAATTTTTTTAACAAATATGCAAGAGGGTTCAACAACTGACTTGTATTCCCCTTTAAAATTTAAAGGTATTCTGATACTGCATCCGTTGGTATTCTGCTTCTGTTCTATAGTTACATGTCCTTTTATTGGACAAGCAACATAAATTTAAAGGTACGTCTATTTATAAATAATCCGTGGATAAACCTGGTCTCTTTTTGGCTTTAATCTATGAAACATTTTTGCATAAAAATTCATAACCATAAGCTTGGCTAGCATATCAAATCTGTTTGACTTTTTACATCGAATTTCAGGCCATGTCATATTGGAGAAAAATTGTTAGTGCTGATTATCAACTTCTATTCCGATTAATCAATGGTTTTATAGTTGTTGCATTTGCTTCTACTCTAATCACATTCGTTGCACTACCACACATGACAATCAAGGATATTGTCGTATGAATCCTCGGCTTCCTCCCTACTGGCCAGGGACTACATCTGGTTAGTATTTTTATTTTAAATGTATTTACAAAATTTTCCCTCACTGGAATTTCTACTTTTTGTTGACGTGGCAGGTTTATTTACTTTAAATTTGTTCCAACGTTTTCATAATACTACTTAATGAACTTGTCTCAATAAACTTGTCACGTCAGTGCCACATCATCAAAATTAAAAAAATTAGCGATGTTAATCGGTGTTATTTATATGTTGTTTGTTATCTATTGTTAGATATCACAAGCTTTGAGGCCATTTTTGCGAAGATCTGGACTGTAGTCGTCGATTAGAACCCTAGCACAATACTATGAAATAATCATGGGGTTACTTTTATTCACCCTGGTTGGTTGCATTTCTGGCATGGTTTCCATTTGTGTCAGAATTCCAAACACATATGCTTTTCAACCAAGCGTTCTGCAGTGGTCTACAGATATCTCGTATTCTTGGTGGTGGACAGAAGAAAGACCGGTCTTCTGACAACAAGGAGTAAATACATTTATGTAAATTGCGTATATGAATCCGTGAATCAATATATACGTAAACGATGTGAGTTTTTGTTTGTAAGATGTATAGTGATCTTAAATTTTTTTTTCTTGGCTATTGAGTTGAGTTATTATTGAATAAATTTTGTAAATATGGGACGTGGGATTTGTATCTATGTAAGTTGTAAATTTATTATTATGTATGTGGTGTTGTAGGTTAGGACATGGTCTATGTATTTTCTAAGACTATGGGAGGGACTTTTACGGATTTAATGTGGATCCAATAAGTTGAAAACATTATTCCAACAAACAATCAAATCCCTAACATCTTTCAAATTCGAAATAATCAATGGATCAGATAATTACACTTTATTTCATCAAATAAAGTTCAATCCTAACTTATTGAGTACTGGCAGTGGGCCCGCACAAAGCGGCGGCAAAATTTTAGTTTGTTATTAGAAAACATATTCCAAAAAAACACTTACTGGATAGGTCAATCGAAGGTGGAAATTTTTGAAGTTTTGTGCTTTATTGGACATGCATTCTAAGTCTATTGATTGTTTTTGTGTTTGTTCGGTGTTGAAAGTATGATTATTTATGACAAGATTAACATTGAGCATATATTCTTAATCTGGGCTAAAACTGTAAAATTGGAGAAAGGTTTATCGTGATAATGATGTAAGATTTGTGGTATTGGGTGTATTGTGTATTGTTTTGTTATTGCAGGGACTGCTGCTCATTTTCTATAAACTTAGGAAACACGTTGATCCTTGATTATGGGTTTGGGTCGGATAGAATCCGGTTTTGATCCATGGATATTACCCGAAGTATATATTTGGTTTCAGCTGTGATCAGATCATTTTATCACACACTTATATTCGAGTCTCTCTGTTCTCTCGTCTTCTTCTTCAGATTAGGGTTTTGGTCTGTTTAGGGTTTGTTTTATTCTTGTTAATTTTGTTTTGTAAAATCTTAAATCTGTTAGTTTCTGTTATACACGTTTGAGTGTGAGTGATGTAGTGAGTTTTCAAGTTGTAAGTTCTTGAAAGCCAAGTGGATCTTATTTTCAGTTAATAAAAGATTTGTTAATGTTGTTATTAGATCTGTTGTTTACTTTTTTAACGTGGTATCCGAGCGGGTTTACTCCTGCGTCGTTTTCTTTTGATTTCGAGTTTTCTGAGTTAGGGTTTCTCGATCTGTTTTGAGTTAGGGTTTCTCAATCTGTTTTTGGTTCTTGAAGCTTCGTTGGAAGTTTTTTTTGTTCTTTTGTTCTGATCATCTGTTGATCTGGTTGCTTGTATTGGGCTGTTTAAACTCTCTCAGACATCGTCGATCTTAATAGTAAACGATCACTTGAATGTAAACGTTAGGTCTAATTTCTTGCTGTCTAACAGCCAGCATTAAGCGACGGTCAACGTTAAGGTCGCAAACGGTGTAATCTGAGGTGTTTGGTGGTTTTTGGCATTTGAATGCACGTCTACTTCAGTGTTAGACTCTATTTTATATAGATCTAATGGTAAACTACTTTGCTGCTTGATGAGCGATTGTGTGGATTTCTGTAAGTTTTCGCACGCTTTTTCCTTTTCTTGTTTGTTCAGGTTAATTTCTTGGGTGCTTCTGTATTATTGTTTTTTTGTGTGTTGATTGTGACTCTTACAATTTGTTGATAACAAGGTTGTGGTCTTGTGGTTATACTAGCTTGTCTACCCCAAGAAAGGTGGTCAGAATCTGGTTTAGTATCGTCAATGAGTCATGGTTGGGGAAACTCCTTCTGCATCTGGCTCTAAGAGTCCAGATCATTATGATTTTGATGATCTGTTGTTCTTACATCCTTCTGATAATGGTGTAGTAGCAGTTATTAGTTTTAAATTGACTGGTACTGAGAATTTTAGGATTTGGAAGAGTTCTATGACTAGGGCTTTGAAAGGTAGGAATAAATTAGGTTTTGTTGATAAAACTTTTCCTAAACCTAGTCAGGATGGAACTAAAATTCGTGATGGGGACGTGTTAATGTTGTGGTATGTTTTTGAATTCTTGGTTTTTTTTCTGAGTCTTTATATGCTAATCATACCTGTAGTGACAATGCTTTTGATATTTGGTCTGAGCTAAGTGAAACATATTCTAAAGTTGATGGTTCTGTTGTCTTCAATATACATCAAAAAATAAACTCTCTTACTCATAGTGGTTTATCTGTCTCTGAGTATTACAGTAGGGTTGATGCCTTGTGGAAAGAATTTGATGGATTAGTTAACTTGACTGAATGTACATGTGAAGCCTCAGCTGACTTTGTTAATCACTCAAAGTTAATGAAGCTAATGCAGTTCTTGTCTGGTTTAGATGATACATTCAGTCAGGTTAAAAGCCACATCTTGTTAATGGAACCTCTTCCTAATGTAAAATCTGTTTTTTCAATTGTATCTTGTGAGGAATCACACCAAAAAGGAGGTTCCATTTCTTAGTCCTCCACTTAATCTTTGGTTACTGCTTTTGTTGGTAAATTCAATGATCAGAAACGTAATAAGTCTCGTGGAAATTCTAATCTTCAATGCAAAAACTGTAGTCTTAAGGGACATACTATTGAAAGATGTTATAAACTTATTGGTTTTCCAAAAGATTTAAAATTCAAGAATGAACCTCATAATATTAATAAGACATTTCCTTCTAATAACTCTGTCTCTTCTGATGTTAATGGTTCTTCTGATTCTGATGTTAAAACTAACAACTCTTCTGAAAAGTTTTTTCTCACAAGTGAGCAATATACGAAGTTTCTCAGTCCCATTAATGAGAAAATTTCAACAAGTGAAGTATCTGCAAATATGGCAGGTATTTGTTGTAACACTTCTATGTCTACTAATAGGAAGTGGATTGTTGATTCTAGTGCAAATCATCATATGACCAAAAATGATTTTAAGTTATATAACATTGTTGATGTTTCAAAACTTGATCTTAAAGTAGATCATCCTAATGGATCCTTTGCTAGAATCAACAAAATTGGGAATATGAGATTGTCTGAGTCTGTTGTTTTGTTTGATGTTTTAGTTGTTCCTGAGTTCAATGTTAATTTACTTTCAGTTCATAAACTTTAAGGATAATAAATGTCAACTTGTTTTTGATGAGTTTAAATGTTCTATTCAGGATTCACAGTCCAAGGTGACTGTGGAGACTGGTAGTGAATCAGGAGGGTTGTATTATCTTAAAGACTGTTACTCTTCAGGTAATATGGCCTCTTTAAGTAGGATTAATTGTTATGTTTCAAAAATTACTTGGCATAATAGATTGGGTCAACATGCTATCCAATCTTTAAATTCTCTGAAGAATGTTTTGTCCTTTGGGTCCGAGTCTCTTCCTCCTTGTGATGTTTGTCACAAAGCTAAGCAGTCTAGGAACTCTTTTCATTTGAGTGAAGATAAGAGTGTTTCTTTAGGTGATTTAGTGCATATGGATGTCTGGGTCCCTATAGGGTTGCTACTACTGATGGTTTCAAATATTTCTTAACTATTGTGGATGATTTCAACAGAGGTGTATGGGTATATTTGTTAAAATCGAAAACTGAAGTTTTTTTATTGGTTTTCTGTGTTTTATAATTTCTTGAAGAATCATTTTAATTCGAGTGTTAAGATTGTTAGATCAGATAATCGTATTGAGTTTGTTAATTCTCAATTTAAAGAGTTTTGTTTGATGAAAATGGTATTTCTCATCAAACTACTTGTACTTATACCCCACAACAGAATGGTGTTGTGGAGAAAACATATACATCTTTTGAATGTAGCTTGGTCTCTTTTATTTCAGTCCGGTTTACCTCTTAAGTTCTAGGGTGAATCTGTTTTAACTGTTTTTTTATAAATAGACTTCCTACTTCAGTTTTAAAAGGGAAGTCTCCTTTTGAAATGATTTACAAATGTTTGCCTAAATTTGAGAATTTAAGGAAGTCTCCTTTTGAAATGATTTACAAATGTTTGCCTAAATTTGAGAATTTAAGAGTGTTTCGGTGTTTATGTTTTTCTGTTAAGCAAAATATATCAGATAAGTTTGTTGAAAGGTCTGAAAAATGTGTTATCATTGGTTATTCTAATGAAAAGAAAGGATATAAGTTGTACAATCTTGATAATTCTTGTGTTTTCT